TCTGGAGAACAGAGGTGTAAACCTTAGCACTCACCAGGACCACCTGGCAGCCTGTGAAAATGGGGGCTCCAGGGTCCCCCCTTCAAAGATTCTAATCAATAGCTCTCAGGGTCCCCAGAAACTACAGTTTCAGCAGATACCCTGAATAGTTCTGGCGAGGGTGGTTCGCAGGCTGAGAATCACCATCAGAGGGGAAGCTTGGGGTCTTCTGACCGCCCCACCCAAGAGAGGCTGGTGAGAGGAGGGGACCCCAGTGAGCCCCAGACTCACACCATCTCTTAACTTCTTTTTGGAGCTACAGTCCAGTCTTCCCCTGGGACTTCAGCCATGACCACATGGGTGCTCACTGAAGTCTCGGAACCGAAGGCCTGGTAAAGCAGGGATCCTGTGCCTATTACAGTGCACCCCCCAAATAGACATACACACTTGACCCCAGATCTCTAGGGCGGGATCTGATGCCATTTCCTGTCTGAGGACCAGGAAACCAGGCCTCTGCCTTGTTCCCTGGTTAGAAGCATCAGGGTGGGGTTAGCAGGGTAAGAAACAGAGGTTCAGAGGTGCTGGCCGGAAAAGCAGGGACCCCAGCTCCCTCTTTCCTCTGCTTCCATGGAAAGCTGCTGCTGGGATGGGTGGCTCAGAGGCCGGCTGCCCCTGTGTACCAAAAACCCCTCCTTGACCTCCACCCTCCAGCCCCAAAGAGAAAAGTGAACTGTTGGGCCAGTCACCTTCTCCGTAACTGGCCCCGCCGCCCTGGGGGCGACTCCACGCTGAGGTCCCCCTGGCCTACAGTCCTGAAGTTTGAGTCTAGGGAGCCTGGAGGTCAGGCCGCCCAGGCGCTTAGGCCGCCCCGGGTTGAGATGGGCAGGTCGCAGGGCCCGGGTGCGCCCAGGGCTTTGCCCTCACCCGGTTCTCTGCAGCATCTATCCGGGGCTGCGTAATCCACGCACAGAAGCTCGTTTGCAGCCATCCTTGACGTCCCCCCTCCTCCGACCTGTCATTATCTGGGGTATAACATACACATACGCCCGGCATCTTGGCTACGTCGCTCTGGGTCAAACCCCCTAAAGTAAGCGGAGAGATTTTGAATTCGTTCTAGCCAGGATGCCTCTGATTATCGTTTACCCTCGCAGAGCCGGTAACTTAGCACCAGACGCAGGAGCGCCCTTGCGTTTTAAGCTTGTGACTCGCACACGTGGGGTGCGCTTCGAGGGCAGCGGCACAGCGGTGGGAGCTTCGCCCCTGGGGAAGACTCAATCAGCCCGACTGGACACGGTGTCTGCGCGGCCGCGGTGACAACGCGGAAAATCCGACGTGGGTGCGGAGGCGATTTTGCCTTCGAAATCCGACCCTTCTGAGCTTGCCTGGAACCAGGAGCTCCTCGAGGGACGGCTGGACTTTACCTCTCACTCCCAGGCCGCAGGTCAGTCCAGGGGGAAGAGGCCAGGCTTGGTCATTCAAGCCAGTTTTCCTACACAAGCCTATCTGGGCACCTCCCACCCACCGGGTCCCAGACGCGGGTGTGCTGGGAGATCCGCATAAGGGAAGGCGCCTCGAGGAGATGAGCAGGAAACGGGTTTGTTGCCACCAGGGACCCTGGACCAGCGGCACTAAGGCCGCGCACAACCAGGGCGCATGAAGGCCTCTGGCGCGCGGCGCCATGGCGCCAATCGAGTGGGCGCAGGGGCTGGAGGCTGCAGAAAGAAGGTCTGGGCCGGCGTTGGGTTTCTCCTAATCAGCCCGCTTCCCCCAGCCGCGTCCTAATTGGGGCGCAGTCTCCGGCGGAGACAGGGAGGGCCCCCAGCTCCCGGGAGGCTCTTCTGAGGACGTGTCTCCCGAGCGCTGGTGGGAGGCCGAGGATGCCGAGCGCGGCTCTGCCCCGCAGGACCGAGCCTTCCGGCCCGCCGCGGACCCGCTTCTCCAGCGCAGGGCCAGGCGCGTGCGGGCCACAGCTCGCTGTGCTCGGCCGCCGGGGCCCCCAGGGATCGAGTCGCCGGCCTTTTCCTGTCCCCTTTATCTCGTTTTTATAGATAGCTGTTAGTTTGGGACATTAATTGCCCGGGCAAGTTTATTGATAATTTTGATGTAACAGAGCACCGGAGAAATTACCACCACGTCCAAAATGTCAGATCTGAGAAGAACCAGGTTCAGAGACTCACGACCCTGCGACGCGGAGACACTGCGGTGGGTCTGGAATGGCGGCACCAACAATGCGACTTCTGTGTTTGTTTTCTCCGTATGGGGCATAGGAAATAGAGAGAGTGGTCAGTGGAAGACACGGGGTAAATTTTCTGAAAGGGCAAAATATGATTTAGTAGGGAAATGTTACCGTCTTGGAAACGTGCCTGTCACTTTCCCACCCACAACCCTTGCCTGGTTCAAATTTTACTCCATTTTCAATTGGTAAAAACCAAGGGTAGAACACCAAGACCCCAAACGAAATAAGACAAAAATTGGAGCAAAATCTCGAAGTTGATTCATGAATTATAACAGCTAGAGTAGTGGAACAAAAAAGTTTGAAACTAAAAGTAAAATCGTCATCGGTCTTGGAGTGGTTTTACATATATAAATATATATATGTCATTTCATATATATATATATATAATACAGCATAACCACATACATATGTAATATATGTGATATAAATATATTTGTAAACATATGTATATAATATATATGTGTACATTTGGGTATATATATATGGAGAGACAGAGAGAGAGAGAGAGGGAGTTTGGTTGGTTTTCCCCAAGGGAACGAGGTCTACAGTTTTTCTTGAAACTCTTGATTATTTCTTTAAAACAAGAAATGACATTTAGGGGGCAGAGGGCTCTTCTTAAAAAACAGAAGCCAAGAAAAATAGTTCCTCTTGTCCAGTTTTTGCTTCAATTTGAAATGAAGAGTGAAAGGAAGATTCTCCAAAAAAAGAAAGAAGTATTCCGAATTACCCAGATTGCAAATTTTCCAAAGTCTAGAGACCCAAAGCCTATTTCTCTCCATAGCTGGGGGTCTGGAAGATATTCTGGAATCCCGATCCCAATCAAATACTCGTGAGTATTTTATTTCTAGTTGATACAATTTTAAAGGCCAAGTACAAATGTTATACATTTTTATTTTTGTTCTTTTTTTAGGAAAAAAATACACAAAAGGCAAAACATCCTCAACTTGTCATTTTATACAGTGCAGAAGTAAATTTAAAATACGTGTCGCAAACGCTGCACTCCAGCAGCCAAAATACTAAAAAAAGGAGGGTAGTCCTTCATATTATATATATATTTATATAAAACATATGGAAATTTGTTTTTACACAGATTGATCTTTGTTTCAAATTTACAATGGTTATCTAAAAAAAAAAAATTCTACACGGCAAATATTGCCAACAAAGTTACACCATTAATACTGATAAACGGAAGAGACTAAGAGGTGTTTCGATTATTAGGGAAAGAAAATAGAATAAATAACAGTTGAGTTTTGCTATAGTTTTAAAAGTGCCTTAACCTTTCTGAGTCACCGCAATCCTGAATACTTGCGGTCACCGGGCCTTCCCAGTCCCCGCTTCTTGCTGCCTTGGGCTCGTTCTTGGACCAGAAAGTTTTACAGTAGAGACGGGAGAGAGAGAAATACCCACGAAAAAAGTCAAAATAAAATTCAAGACAAAACAAAACAAGAGGCTGAAGGAAAGGAAGAAGAGGAAGGTAAGAGGGGAGGCAGAGGCCCACTCCTCGGCTCCTACTATTTTCTTTTTAAAGATGAACAGAGGCTTCAGAAATGCAAGTTGTTAGCACAGAGATCCACCTGCGGTTTCAGGAGGAGGCTTCCCAGGTGGAGAGGAGGGACTCAAGTTCTGGTCCCCTCCCCTCCTGCAAAAGACGGCTCTAACCGGAGACTTGCGCATTCCGAGACATTCTTTCAAAAAAAAATTAAAAATAAAAAGATAAATATCCGACCAAAAAATAAAGGTATTTGATAATAATTGGTCTCACATGTTTGCCTTCCTTCTCAAAACCTCCCCCCACTTTTGCCATCGGAGGGGAGAAAGCGGGTAGACCTCAGCAGATTTCTCGTTTAGACGTCAGGGCTTTCCCCCAATGCAGCACCTTCGCAGTCGGTTTCAACAGGATCGAGAACATTCATTTTCCAACAGCTGCAGTCAGATCAGACCCCACCATCACCATTTAAAATTTTTTTGAGGGAGTCGGGAAGGAGGTGATGACCATAGTGCCCGGTCTTTTTGTTGGGGATTCCTTTCCATAAAATCCGGTTGGGGAGGGGTCAAACCCTTGTCTTCTGCCGACGGTTATACCTCGAGAATAAAACAGTTTCTTGCGCTGGGTTCCGAGGTCCCTGCCACCGGCTGTCCAGTGCCGGGAGGGCCCAGGGCCGCAGCCTCACATCACACACGGCTTGATGTCTTGGTAGGTGACCTGCTGGTGGTAGTAGGAGCCACCACTGGCTGAGTGCATGGACGAGGAGGCCATGGCATTGAAAGAGAAGACAAACTCCTTTCTGTCACACATGCTGGGGGACTGGGAGTGATACCGTGGGATGCCTGTAAGGTGGGTGACAGAAAAGGTTGGGAGGCAGAAGAGTTAGTGCTGGGGGGCCAGAGAAGCAGCTTCACACACAGCCATGCTCGCCAGGCCAGCCCAGCTCAAAGCACAGCAGTCTCCAGCGTTCCCAGCCCCTGGTGAGGCCGGCGGCCTCGGCAAGGCCTTTCAGCTGCTCTACTCGGGAAGGATCCCTGAGCTCTCACAGAGAGTCTGGCTGGCCACCTTGTATAGCTGGCAACAGGGCAGCCTGGTGCTGGGGGCTTCCTGAAGCTACAGGGGAAGGGGTGAGGGTGTCCAGCTGCTCCGCGGACTCTGACCGGGTCCTAGTGGCCCTAACGCTGGTGGCAGCCCCAGCCAAGGCAACAACCTCTGGAACCCCAGAGGCCAAAGAGGCCTTTGTGGAGGGAGAGGCTGAGGCATTAGCAGCCACAAGAAGAGGCTTCTCCCAGAGGAAGGGTCCCTTGGAGAACAGAGCCCAGTAGTTTGAAATAGCTAAAGCAGGGAGGCCCCCTCCCACCTCCCACAGGCTGCAGACAGCTGACCCCTGACAGCCCCTGTTGTGCTCACTCCAGCCTCTTTCCAGAACTAGGTGTGAGAGGCTGCTGGTAGGCACTGAGGTTGGGGGTTCAGGAGAGGAGATGGCTGGTTGTGTTTAGGGTGTGGGTGTCTTGGGGCCTGAAAACCTGGATCCTGAGAAACAAAGAGTCTCCGGGCCTGCAGCTCTGACCCTAACAGGGCCTGGCCACCCTGCCTGTCTCACCACATAATGCCCCTGGAGTCAGCGGTGGCACTGCCGGGCCTGGTTGCCTGAAAAGCTGGGGCTGAGCCTCCAAGCCAGCGCGGCCCAGGCAGCTTTGGGCCTAACTCTTCTGCTCCGCCCAGGCCCTGTACAGAGGTAGCTCTCCAGGCAGCCTGCTGGGGTGACCACCAGGGAGTGGGGGCCAGCTGGCCAGCTGGGACCTGTGCTCAACACTGGGACCTTTCTGAGGTATGAGAGAGTATTGGGGTCTGGGACTTCTTAACAATGGGCCTACCTGGTCAGGCTTGGGGCGGCCATCAGCAGAGAGTTGGAACAGAAAGAGAAACAAATTGATGCCCTGGCCCCTCCAAGGGGGAGAGGTGGGGCTGAGGCACCATGGGCAGCTGGTACCTTCCCTGAGCATGGGGTTTGCCCCACAGAGGAGAAGGTGGGTTCACCTAAGGAGGCCCGAGGGTTTAGGGCTGGGCAGTCTCGGCCCCCACTCACCTTGCAGCTCGGCTGGGGCGTTGTGACTGTTCTGGTGCAGATATGGCTGGTCCAGGGAGTGCGTGGAGAGGCTGCCAGACAAGGGGTTGGCTGCAGGATTGCAGGGGGACAAGGGCTGCTGCTTGATGTAGGAGGCGCCACTGTTGAGCGCCGCTGAGGCCGAGGGCGGCCAGGCGGCCGCGGATCCCGAGTAGACAGCGTGGGGCTCCATGACCCCGCCGGCGCCGGCGGGCAGCAGCGGGGAGGCGGGCACCGAGCTGTCGTGGTGTGGGTACTCGCCAGCCGCCCCACCGCCGCAGCTGCCCATGTACGAGTGGCCGCCGTTGGAGGGCAGGTGGGGCGCCGAGTGGCTGGGCAAAGCCAGGCCGTCCACGTTGCCCGGCAAGTGGCCGTTCATCATGCCCAGGCCGCTCTCCAGCGCCAGGCTGTTGGGCGGGCACGAGAGGCCGCCGGCCGAGCTCTGGAAGCCATAGGTGTCCGGGAGGTGGTTGAAGCCCAGCCCGTTCATCATGCTGTACATGGGCTTGAGTGCCTGGCATTTCCTTCGGAAGCCGCGCGGCCGCCGCCGAAAGGAGCCCTCCTCGAACATGAACTCGCTGGCCGGGTCGATGGTCCAGTAGTGGCCCTTGCCCGGCCGCCCGAGGCCCTTGGGCAGCTTGATGAAGCACTCATTGAGCGAGAGGTTGTGGCGCACCGAGTTCTTCCAGCCCTGGTAGGAGCCGCGGAAGAAGGGGAAGCGGCTCTGCAGAAACTGGTAGATCTCGCTGAGCGTCAGGCGCTTGGTGGGCGAGCTCTGGATGGCCATGACGATGAGCGCGATGTACGAGTAGGGAGGCTTCTCCGGGCGCCGGATGCCGGCGTTCGTCTTCTTGGCCTTGGACTGGCCGGACGACGCGGGGTCCATGG